GCTCGGGAGCATGCCATTAGTTCAGCAAACATGTCTTCCCGTGTCCTCTTCTTCCTCCTCCTAATGTGCGCTAGCCTCTGGGCAGATGTGGCTGTGGGAATTGGAAAAAGGGAGTGAATTCCTGAGACAGATCAATGTATCTGTGAACAGAGAACATAGTCTTTCAACAAGACCATGCAGAGCACCTATCACACGCGCACTGAGGACAAGGTCGAATTTTCGGCCCTCGCCTACAGTGCCTGCGGTCTTGCTGTGGCGAGCTGAGGAGCAGGGCAGGACACCGGACTTTGTCTAGCTGTCAAACATGGTAAGCCGTAGACTTGTGGCTGCTTAAAACTTTAAGAGTGGCACTGGCCTCCTTTCGCATAGAAAGCAATGCGAGTCTCTGCTGGCAGCAATCCTGCAAGCATGAACTCTGCCCCTGTCCCACCCCCTCGCGGCTGTAAACCGCGTGGCTGTAAACCGGCGGTTGCAGTTCTGTAAAGGGACGGGCAAGCAGTCCCAATACTAACTTTCCCCTACCTAATTCACAGCAGGGAGTCATGCCAGACATCACCCTCCTGAAGGTCTCTGAGAGCCAGAAGGAGCGGATGCTTCGTGACAGCCTGCAGAAACCGGGGCCATTTGCTGCAATGCTCTGCAAGGCCATGATCCCCGAGTACCTGCTGGCGTTGTGGCAGGGAAACGTCTCATACCACGGGGGGCCTAACAAGCTCTCCCTGCCCAGGAACCTGCTCATGAGGCTTGAAAAACACCTGCAGGAGACCTATGAGGAGTTCTCCCCGGAGGATGTCGCCTCTATCCCCGGATACATTGACCAGTTTTTGGGTTAGGTGCCCTTGGAGGGACAAAAGAGTGCAGCGTTTTGGGCATTATAATCATGAAGCGGACATTGTGAAATTTTTTGAAAATAGACTATATATTGAAGCGCCCAAAGACAGAGTAATCATGATACACTTTGCACAGATTCCCGTTTTGTTGGACTTTCCTGTTTACATGTTTTGAAGCACTTTACCCACTGTTAATATTTTAAATCTTCCTGTTTTGTTGTAAATAAATGTTTACATGTTTTAAAGCACTTTACCTATTGTTAATATTTTAAATATGCCAGTTATGTTACAAATAAATGTTTAGATATTTAAAACACTTACTGCTTGATCCTTCCCCTGAATCTGTGTCTGGGATAACGGCTGGGGAGTGTTGGTAGGGGATCTCTGTGAGGGTGATGAAGAGCTCCTGGCTGTCGGGCAAATCAGCGCTGTCGACTGCCTCGTCCTCCTCATCTCCTTCCTCCTCTTCCCCGTCCGCTGAGGAACCGGCCGCGGACAATATCCCATCCTCAGAGTCCACGGTCAGGGGTGGGGTAGTGGTGGCGGCCGCACCTAGGATGGAATGCAGTGCCTCGTAGAAACGGGATGTGTGGGGCTGGGATCCGGAGCGTCCGTTTGCCTCTTTGGTCTTCTGGTAGCCTTGTCTCAGCTCCTTGATTTTCACGCGGCACTGCGTTGCATCCCGGCTGTATCCTCTCTCTGCCATGGCTTTAGAGATCTTCTCATAGGTCTTTGCATTCCGTCTTTTGGAGCGCAGCTCGGAAAGCACGGACTCATCTCCCCACACAGCGATGAGATCCAAGACTTCCCGATCAGTCCATGCTGGGGCCCTCTTTCTAGTCTGAGATTGCACGGCCATCTCTGCTGGAGAGCTCTGCATCGTTGCCACTGCTGCTGAGCTCGCCACGGTGTCAAAACAGAAACTGCGATTCAAACTGCCCAGACAGGAAAAGGAATTCAAATTTTCCCGGGGTGTGGCTGGTCAGAGCATCCGAGCTCGGACTGCTGTCCAGAGCGTCAACAGAGTGGTGCACTGTGGGATAGCTCCCGGAGCTATTACCATCGAATTCCATCCACACCTAGCCTAATTCGACATGGCCATGTCTAATTTAGCGCTACTCCTCTCGTTGGGGAGGTTTACAGAAATCGATTTAAAGAGAGCTCTATGTCGAACTAAATAGCTTCGTGGTGTGGACGGGTTCAGGGTTAATTCGATATAACGGCGCTAAATTCGACATAAAAGCCTAGTGTAGACCAGGCCTTGGTTTCATTCAGTCTTGGGTGGGATTTGACATACTAGAATAAGGGGGATGGATGGGGGAAATTCATTGACTGCCTATATTAACCCCAATGTCCTGCCCAAATTCCAACTCCATCACTTCTATTTTCCCTACATAAAATAGCCTGCACCCCCTGCATTTTCAATTAAAGTTATTCTTCACTCCTCTTCTAAAAATATCTTTTTACAGTATTGCTGGTACAGGATGGCTGCCAAATTCCACCCCAGAAGTAGCTGCATTTCCTTGCTGGGTGATCCATATTCACACAGCAATATGCTTTCACTGTTTCCAGCCAGGCTGATGCTACTGCTTCTCACACCAGCTTTCAGTCCCAGTGGCCTGCTCTGGATTCATCCCCCTCCCACCTACTTTCACTGTAACAAACTGGTGCATGCCCCTCCAACCGCCTGAACAATATCGTGACATCAGCACTTACTTAATTCCTCCCAGATGAGGAATCGAGTCCCCTTCTGGTTCCAGTCGTCCGTCTCAGACTGGAAGAGTAGCCCAGGCCAAGCCTCCCGAGCCGGCAGGCAGGGGGAATACCCACAGCCCACACAGACACAGTAGCCGCTGGCCTTGTCCCCGGAGAGCTGCTGTCTGTTTGTCTAACCTCGTCGTCTCCTACCACAACTGGGACAAGAGCACAAGTGCAAAAGGTTGGGTGATGTGTGTGTGAGTGCGTGCACGCTAGGGGATAGAAGCAAATTGCTCTCTCATACAGAAAGCTGCTTCCAATGGACAGCAGAGAGCGACCTTAGCAGATGGATAATTCTAGGTTTGGTGGAGACAGGGCTGACGAGCCGCCTTTGGCAGTGGAACTCAGATTGCTTGTGCTGGAGATAGAGGACCCGCGGCTGCTGTTATTGCTCTACTTGCCATTGTATTTTCCAAGATGCCAGGAGCTGCCAACCCCTCCTCCCCTTTCTCTGATCTCCTGCTTTGATCTCCTTTTTGCCGGGGATTGGCGGGGAGAGGATGGGGCTCTGGCTCTGGATTGGCCAGCCTGTTTGTCACTCATGAGCTTTTGCTGCTGCAGGGAGATTAAGGTTAAACAGTGGGAAACTGGGATTTTAGCACTATGCACTCTCAGTCTGGAAGGATGCCACATGCCATTGCCCCACAGAATTGGCGGGGGCGGAGAGGGGAGATTTTAGCTCCTGTATAACCTTTAGGATTGTGTTTCGCTTTGCAGTGCTCCCATCGGGCTTGGTTATACGGAATTCCAGCCTTGTCCAAGTCTTCTCAGGGGAAATCCACCAAGAGGGCATTTGTCCCCACCCATAACCACTGTGCCTTTTACCCAGTGCAATTGCCTCACGTCCCTGCCAGTGATGCTCATGACAATTGGTACTTTGCCCTATTGTCTTGCCAGGGGTGCTGGAACAATTTTTACAGTGGGTGTGTTGAAATCAGAAACCATGTATTTTGTTATTACTCCTTCAAGCAAGGGGGTGCTATCCCTAGTTCCAGCACCCCTGTGTCTTGCATCTTTCATCTGAGGATCTCAAAGTGAGACACACACACAACTTTAACTGGTGCCTCATATCCAATCTTGTAGTTTCAGCCTCTGTCTGTGGGAAGGAATTTGGAAGATAGAGGCCGTGGAAATCGAGCTCCTTTACACTGGGGTCAGTCAGGAGCAGCTTTATGACATTTCACCAGCATAAAATCAACCTGCTCTAAGTGGAAGCAGCATCGGCATCAGATGCATGCATGTTGCTCACCTGTCTATTTAGAAAACATCACTGGACATTGGCAATACCAGGAGAGAGGAGCTGGAGTGCCTTTGAGAAGCGACATCGGGAAAGTAACTGAAATACTTATCTGATAGGTTGTCCCTCAGTAAATACAATCCATCCTAAATTCTCAATTACTGAGGGACAATCTACACTCATTGCTATATTTGCTTTCCAGAAGGTACTCTTGGTATAACCTTTTATGAGTGATGTATCTGGATGTTAATATCTAAACTGTTTTGTTAAATTTATTAACCTTAATTTGGGATATTGCAGATTGGGTTCTATATATATATATATATATATATTATGACTTTTAAACCAAACTTTGTACTTTTGGACAATTCAAGCATTACATTCAGATGTATAGTCACTCTTTGCTTAACCTGTGTATTTGATAATTTTAACATTAGCTTTAATAAAAAAAATTAAACCTTTTATTGGACTAACTTCTGTTGGTGAGAGAGAGAAACTTTCCAGGTTCCACAGAGAAGAGACCCTTGTGTTAGTGGCTGAAACCAGTCCCCTGAATTATGTTGATTGTTTGCATTGTGACTGCCACTGGAGATTTCATGGATGGCTGAGGATTTGAATTGTGCACACGTGTAACCACCAAAGGACAGTCCCTGCCCCCAAAGCTCTTCCAGTCTAAGTAGAACAGATCCCATTAGATCCCATCATGTCTGGATCATGAGGCACGGGGTCCAGTCTTCAAAGTTGGCTGCCTGAGTCTTCCAAGGAAGGGCACTGTTAATTGCATAATGGGGTTTAATGAAACTGAGGAATATCTGTTCTGAACTCCTGAAAATACCCCAGCCGGGACGTGGCAGTCACACTAGTGCAAGCGGCACTGTTCGGGGACGCTCCCTTGTCACCCACCTCTGCACTGGGACCTTTTTTCCAGGGCGCAAGGCCGGGGCCGCCGGGGCCGGTGGAGAAGTGGCCCCCTCCCCACTGCGGGGCAGGACTGTTCGAGCTGCTGCCGCCGCCCTGAGCTCTTCCTTTTCTCTCCCCCGCCCCCGGCAGCCGCTCTCCCTGGAGCCCTGCTGGCTGGGGAACAGTGCAGCGAGGGGAACCGTGCACGGAGGCCGCGGTTGCACCCTGGGTTGCGTTGCCTGCAGCCCCAGCAGGAAGTGCCCTGAGTGCTGGTCGATAGAACGTGCCGCTGCAGGCACCGGCTTTTCCCGGGGAGTCCCTGACTCAAACCCGCTAGGCGGGCTCGGGTCCCGCACAGGGGAAAAGGCAGCAGGGGCTGCCAGGAGTCTGGGTCGCTGGTATGTTGTAAATAACCTGGTGGCTTTGGTGTCCCAGCACCTAGGCTCCGGAACAGGAGGGAAACCCCAAATAACTCCCCTCCCCCCTCTGGCTGGTTGTTTCTGGGGTTGCTGTTTGTTTGTTTGTTTTGCGTTTCCCTCAGCACAGCGGGATAAAATCCATGGAGTCCGTCTGGTTCTTCCTGCTTCTAGTCAGTTCCCCCCCGGGTCTGTTGCCGCGCTGGGGATGCAAATGCTGCACGGAGGGGGGATGTGACAGTGTGTGTCGTTAAAAGCCGCTGTTCCCGCTAGTCTAGTTTAAAAACAAACCAAGGCGCGAACATTTCCCTTAGTAAAGTTAGTAAAACTTCCGGGCGCGGGGAGAGGTTACAAAATCCAATATTTTGGACAGAGGTGGGTTGAATCTGTCCCTTTAATTCCCACCTGTGTTATTCCTCATAGGAAAACCTTTGTCGTTCTATTCCAGGCCATATTGCAGCTGGGAAAGGTTATTTTGCTTTTCACAATGACACTCTATGCAAGGGGGACAGGCATCTCGTAGGGTTGTTAAGCAGCACGCCCGTCAACCTTCCAAAAAGAAAATGTGCTGGTAAGGAGAAGCCATAGCTGCAGAGAGCAAGGACTGAGAAGGGAGAGCATCCCCTCGCAGAAAACAACTGGGGAAAGTTTTGGCCTGTGTTCTCCATTAAATCACAACTCCAAAGTGTGGTGTTGAACAATTGTTTTGTAGAGTTCTGGCTCCCTTTCTCTTTTTCCTTCTGGTCTTCCTGTTTATTTCTTTTCATTCCATGCATGGATGCAGCTGTTCTCTCCCCAAGATGTCCAGGGCTTCCCTCTGGCAGATTTTCCTGTCCTGACCTGGCCTTTCTCCACATTAGCGTGTTTCTCTCTTTTCCCCCCCCCCCCATTCCTATCCTTCATGAGCCAATCTACCTTCTATCCCCTCTCCCCCACCTGTCTGTCCTCTCTCCTTTCCCATGCCCAACCTCTTCACATGGAGACCGGAGCCCAACTCCTGCTCACTCTCCAATGCAGCTGATGAGAGTGTTTTGAAGGGTGACTGGCAGTGAATTTGCGAGGCTCTCACTCTTTCACTCCAAGTGTCATGAGCTCACATTAAGATGAAGAATTTGGGACAGACTGGAAATAGAACAAGGGTGGCAGGATACAGAGATGGTGCATTGGGGAGAATACAACCGAGGCAGCAGGACACGCTGTCCAATGCAGCCACCTCAGGTGCATTGTGGGACAAAAGGTCCAAGACCAAGAAGTGATGGCTGTTTAACCATAGCTGTGTACTGGCTTCTCCCCAACCAAATGTGTTGACTGGCCCATCCTTAGAGGGACAGGCCTGCAAAGCTGAGCAGCATTACTATGATATGGACTCCAGAGGCAGCGCTCTCCGGGAGAGAGACTAATGTGCTCCCAGTTAGATTTCATGAGTCATTGTGTTTGTGGAATCATTTTACATCTTGTAAGCAAGTTTTGGTACTAAGGAGAGGTGCCGGAGCCAGGAGTCTGTTTATCCACAGCACAAGCAACAGCATGCCATGGTCCCCACAGACCACCAGCAACGTGCCTCAACCCAGAAGCGACCACCTACAGGAGTGACAGGGGAGTCTGGACTCTGCATCTATTCGCTGCCTCTTCTGTAATGCCAGCAAGAGGGTGGGGAGCACTTTGAGCCAGTTATGGCAGTGGTTTGGTGTGTGGATGTTTGTCCATAGGGCAGGGGGCTGAGACCATGGACTCATTTCACATGGGAGTCACCCTTTGGACTGTAACTCTCAGTTGCTACTGTCCAAGGCGAAACGGAGCTGGTGACTGAGAGGCGAAAAGCCCCATTTCCCGCTCCCCATTCCCAGTGTCCTGCCCCTACTAGTTCCCTGCTATTTAATCTCAGTCCTTTAAACATAGATGCATTTTGTAATAGCATGAATGATTGTTTGTGTTTTCCTGTGCACCATGAGTGCCTTTCTGGCTGGGAGTGGGGAAAGCACCCTGCTATCTGGTGGGTGGATTCCCTTTGACTCACTAGCCCATAAGCCACATGTGTGCGCGCGCGCGCGCTCTCTCTCTCTCTCTCTCTCTCTCTCAGCAGAGGAATGGTGCCCTGAGCTGGTGCCTTGCTGTGAGGAGATGCCCGCAGGATGCCTTTCACAATGCCCGTGGGCATGAGAAGACTCCCGCAGCAGCAGAGTGTCTGGTGGGCATTTAGCAGCCGTGATGTGGGAGTGTCAGGTGGTGAGGAGACCATGCCGCCGGCCTGCCGAGGCTTGAGATTGACTAGGTCTGGTGAAGGTGGCCCGGGAAGGAAGGACATACGTGGCAGCTTGGAAACCATAAGTGACCTCTGATGAGATGAGGCTCCTCACTAGCCCGTTGCGCCGGATGCTGTTGAGCCTCCAGAATCTCTGTGAAGGAGAGGGAGGGAGTCCTGCCAAATGCTGTGTCCTAAACCCCCACCGCCTGCTTCGGAGGGAGAATTTCAGTGCTAAAGTGACAGCCATTGAGCTGGTCAGCTACTGGCGAGGTGTGTTTGAGGCGAATGGGATCCCTGAAGCACAGGAATCCAGCGAGTATATCGTTTCCTACGTCCTGGGAGCAAAGACAGTTAAGTGGTGCAGAAGGGATTATGATGGTGTGGTCACAGCACTCCTGATTCATCAACAAACTTGGCGATCTTGACTAGATTGTTTAATCTCTCTGTGCCTCTGTTTCCGTAGCTATGAAATGGGGAGACTGACACTTTCCTGTCTCATACGGGGATGGGGGTGAGGCTAAATTCATTAATTTTTGTAAAGTATTTTGCCCTCCTCTAATAATTTCTATACAGGGATCTGCCAGGGTTAGCACTGGTTGTAGCATGGGAAACAGGCACCCAGATTGTGCCCGGACCTGTGGCTGTGTGGCCTTGAATTTGGCCCACTGTCGTGAACCCCAGAACTTAGCAGGTAAATGCAGAGGAACTGTTTGAATCAGTGACTTCTAAGTCTCTATGTAGATTCTGCTAAAGATTTGGGATCTCAAAGAGTCTGGGGTGTTATTTATTGGTGAATGTTCGGGGACAGGAGAAAGAGGTGAGCAAGCTGCACAGTTGGGCAGGTATTAAAGTGATTTCCTCTTCAGTTTCACAGCTTGGGTGCTGGCAGCCTCTCCACCCCGCTCACATTGGAGCAGCGGCAGCAGATCCAGCAGCTGAGTATGAAGCGGCTACAAAGGTAGGAGCATCCCCTTTTAAAATCATCCGGCATCTCTTCCTTCTAGGGGGAAGGAAGTAGCATGGAGGAAACAAACAGAGCGAGGGCGGTTGTGTTCATGCTCAACATGCTAGAGCATATGCTAGTGCCGTGTCGCTGTTGAATGACCAGGGAGCGGCGGTAATAGGAGTTTGCCATTAGAACAAGGAGGATGCATGGGGTGAAACTTTACAAAAGAGGCCAGGCCCAACTGGATGTTGGCTCTGAGTCCATTAGAGAAACTACCAGTAGTGCCTTGTGCCGCCACTCCCCTGTCCACTGGCTATGGTCCTCTTCTCAGCTCCCTGACCTCAACTGTTGTGCAGTGTTGCTGTGCAGTGTTAAATAGTTGTCACGTTCCACCCCAGAGATGGCAGATCCAGCCTCTGGGGAATTTTCCTGATGTTGGGGTCTCCCTGGCTGTTGTAGAGTTGGCAAAACCCAGTATTCCCCTCCCTCCCCATAGGATCTCTCAGTACAGGGTGAATTGGGCCTGGTGTCTGCAAGTCACCTGGAATTGGAGATGATGGGGCAGTCTGTGAGGAGAGGAAATGCTTAGGGACTTGGATCATTGAGAAAACTGAGACCTCCAGGAAGGCATCTGGAGTGAGCCTAGAGGAGATATGGAAAAAAACTTAACCCTTTGGCTACTGCAGACATACATCCTCCCAATTATCCATGTGACCGGTGGTTATGGAACATGTTTGTGTCCTGCAGTGAGGGTTAGCTCTGCGATGCATGACAGGGGAGTATGTAGGGGATTCTAGAAGAGGCATAGTGTGTCAGCAGTGGATGCTGGGCTTCATGTATTATCTCCTCACTGCCCATGTGCTCATGCATCATCTTGTTAGACCCCTTCAGTTCCACATCCAAGGATCTTTAGCAGTGCCAGGCATTGCCCTCCATCCCCTGGAGAGAAGGTGCTGGCAATGACAATACCCATGGCTTGGAGGTTGATAAGAAGGTGATTGAGGGCTTGTCTGTAACAGGGGAGCCTACTCCTAATGTGATGCGTAACCCACCCCGTCCTGTTGCAGGATGCCTGTGCAGTACGTCCTTGGTGAGTGGGATTTCCGGGAACTGACCCTCAAGATGAGACCCCCAGTCTTCATTCCTCGGCCCGAGACAGAGGTAAGACCTTGGAAAGGAGGCGTTTAAACTGCTCTTCCATGCACTGAATTGCTACAGATGTGCCCTGTACTGCATGAGAGTCTGTCTATAGGTGATGAGTTGCACAGACCGACCACCTCACACTTCCTTCGGGATGTAGGGGGTGGAGAGGAGGCAGAAAGGAGATATCTGAGACTGTTGTAGGCGAACTTTGCTTCCTGGCCCATGCTGTTGGGGGAGAGACTGTGTTTCTCCCAGCCCCACACTAGGGCAGGCTTTGCTAGCGAATCTATTTCACCTTGGCCAGTCATAAGGAAACCCCAAGTGGAAGTAGTTGGAGTATTTTCCTTTTTTTCTGCTATGGTAATGGCTTTCTCCATAGCCTAAGGACATTGTTAATAAAGCCCAATGGCTTGCTACTTTGATACCAGAATAAGAAGCCTGCAGCTATTCAGAGCTTATGTTAACAAAATCAGCCTGTGGTTGAAGGTAGCAATCACTCTTCTTGAAATCTCAGGATATTGGTAGTGGGATACCTGGAGCCTATTTGTGTCTTTGCTGCTTCAGATTGAGCCTGGGTTGGTAGAGGATGGAAGCTCTTCCCTTTGGGTAGCTTCTGCAGGACAAGCACTGAAGAAATTGGACTCAGATCACCGACTCATTCCCTAGGCCACCAAACAGGTCATTTCTGGCATGGACTGGATTTGAACCAGTGTCTTAGACATGGTGGGGTCATACCGATCCCTTGAGTCACCCATGTGTTCCTCATCCACCTGGACTGGTGACAAAGTAAGGAAACTGGATGGCTAAGAGGATTGGCCATGGAGCTTTTCATCTCTAGCTCTCTGGCTCAAATCTGCTCCCAACTGGTTAGTAACTAAGTGCTTTTACCATTTGACTACAGCTTGGTGGCCATTATGAACTAAATTGGTGGGTCACTGCTCAGTTCCTCCTAGGCAGGTGCCCACGTCACAAAAGTGACCGATACAATTAGCCTCCTTGCTGGTAGTCTCAGAGATGCCAAAGGCAGGATGAGTCATGGAGACTGAAATACATAACCCATATAGGATGGATCTGCTAGCTCACGGGTGAGCTGTATTGGGGATGGGGGGGAAACTGTGTGGAAAGCACCTAGATGTACTGTACCTGATCTGTAGATAAAGAGGACCTCCAGTCCCCAGGGTTGTCCATCCTGCTTCTTTCATTAATCAAAAATAAAATATTTGAGAAAGAAACATTTATATTATTTGGTCAGGCAAGAGTATAGGAGTCCGATCCAGCTCTTCCTGAAGTCAGTGGCAAAGCTCCCATTGATTTTAATGGGAGGACGAGCAGGCCCTAGGTGAAGAATCCCATTACTCTAGCTTGTACAGTGATGCTATGAATGTTCAGCGCTGGAGTTCCAGTCAGGACTGTGACATCAGTACAACCTCATTAGTTTCCTACTAATAGAGCCCTGGAAATCTGTGGATATCTGCATCCGTGGACCATGTTTGCAGATCGTGGATTGGATGCAGATACAAATTTTTTATCCGTGCAGAGTTCTACCTACTAGGCAAAATTGCACCAAGATTGCTTTCTCTAAATGTAGTGCTCGCATCCAAGAGTGGAGACTGCCCGAGTTGTGTCTAATGCCTCGCTTTTATCATGCTGGTTATGATGATCCAGTTTGGAGCAGGTGCCCTGAATGATGATTGTTTTCTTAGTTAGAAAACTGCCCCTCAACAGCTACATCCAAAATCAACAGCCAAAAAGGAGAGTTTCTAGTAGCTGTGTTGCATAGGTAGTCCTGTTCCTGTCAACTTCAGAGAACATTTCCGGCCTCTGACCCTCTTCTAATTCATGGCTGCAATGTTGGAACAAATGCCAGAGGGAGCCTGTATGTTCTGAAAGTCAAAACATCTGCTGATGAGGCTTCCTTCGGTGCTATGCTCTAATTCTTTCCATGCAACACCAGCCCTGCCAGTCCTTAAACAAAGGTCTATTGCATACAGAGCAGGCCATGATTGCCAATGCAAGAGAGCATTGCTGGTTGTGCCCATGTGCTTGCATGGTTTGGTAAATGCATCTCCACTGGCCCAAATTACAATGCAGTGTGCTGGAACGTGCTACATTTAAAGGCGTTCAGCGCAGGCAGGAACCCTGTCTACAAGGGAAATTTTTACAAGTTAGACCACTATAACCCACTGTGTGGACACTCCTATTCCAGTATAAGAGTGGCTCCCTTCACAAGTGACATAAATTAAACCTAAAGGAGGTCACTGTAAACTGGAATAAGACTGCCCACATAGGAGTTGATCCTGGTATAACTACAGTGGTTCACACCTTAGGTTATAACAAAAGATCTTTCCCATGCAGACAAGGCCCTAGACATCCCAGCCACAGTGCCTCTTTAACCAACAAAATGCAGCCACATTCCTTCATTCCACCCAAGTGGATCCCAGCTGAAATCTCCTCAGGGTCACCCCTCTTCTGCACGTGGGCGCCGAACCCTTTGTTGGTGCACTCCTAGAAATTCAAAAGGCTTTAAATTTCCCCTTTGTTGAGGTTCCTGGGAATGTTTCTTATGTCAGCGAATTCCTTTGTAGAGAGACATGGCATGTCTTGCCACCCACTAATTTAGATCTAATTTGCCAAGCCTAACTGGAAGGAGGAAGCAATCAGGTAGGCACTTGTGAGAGGCCAGAGGCTGGCAGGCAGGTGGTCTGTGCTGCTGAGTTTAGGAGGACAGAGGAGTTGTCCTATGTATCATTTCATCTGGAAATATAAGAGGAAATAACAAAGGATCTGATGAGTGAGGGTGATAGGGAGGAGTAGTGGGAGGGTGCTGAGTAGGGGTTAGAGGGGAACCTACCCTGTGGCAGAGTAAGTATCTGTCTTACTCAGAAAGCAGAGCAGCAGCAGCATATGCTCCAGGCTGCTGCTGCTTCTCTTGTAGCTGTTGCTGTTTCTTGGCTTTCTGTTGTCTCATCATAATTTCTGTAACGTCATATGCTGGTCAGCAGTGGCATGGCGAGAGATGGTGAGGTATGCTGAGCTTCACTCTTGCTGCTGTGTAAGTCTGTGTATTTCTCAGGTCTGATTCTGTTGATTGTACATTAAATAATGGGAGCACCTGCTGCTGGCTCTGATGAAGCTACTGTGTTTTGAGCCAGCCACTTCTGGTATCTGATGCAGAGACGACTGAAGATCTGTGTGTTCTTTCTGCCTGGCCTTAATCCCATCCTACCCTGTCACCATTTCCAGCCATGCCCTCTAGTTTAATGTCAAGCTGACAAAAACATTGGGAACTCAGTTGTTTGTTGTCTTGAGAAGGTGTGTGGGCAAGACCATTTACATAACAGGCCACATGTTTGGTGTGATTGTGATCAGGCCGTTGACACTATGTGGTAGCACTCATGGGCCAGCTTTGGGGGAGGATAGTTGGATAGGAAGTGGGTGGGGACAGGTCCAGATATTGAGCACCGTCCAGCTGGATGATGCTTTGTGCATGTTCTCTTTCCAAGCACTACGTACTGTGTATAATCTGTTGCACAAACTGAGTGGGTGTCCAGCTCCTTTCACTCTGCTTCTTCGGACATTGAGCTCTGTGTGGTGTGTTTCAAGGGTGGGTGTTGCTTTGCATATGTCGCCACTGTAACTTTTCAGGAATTCCATTTTACTTTAAAAATGCAACAGGAAAATCTCTAATTTATTTTTTGACCAAATAATGTAGTCAGTACATTTGAGCTGTCTTCCTGCTTGTGATTTGTCTGCAAGCCGTTTGCAATGTTCTCATAATGAGTGGTGGTTAGAAATCATTCACCAGATAACGTCTGAATAATTCTTGGTCTGTAGATCATCCACAGGCAGCTCACTGCCAGTAATTGTTATCCCATATTTGAACTGGTTCATTCTGATTGCACGCAAGTCATCTGCCATGTTTCTATTCCCTGATTGGCTGAGTGTAACTCTTACTATTGAGACTCTGATGCAGATATATTTACAAGTAAAAAATGTGCTTCCTGTTGTTATTTGGTGAAACTTTGCTGCTTCCACAAATGTTCCTGCCTGTAAACGTGGGCACAAGCTAGGAGAAGGAGCTGTCTTTATTACACATTTGTATTGCACCTAGTACAATGGGGTCCTGGTTCTTGATTGGGGCCCCAAGGTGCTACATTAATAAAAAAAAGAATAAGGAAACAGACACGTAAGGAGTGTGAAACCAGCAAAATCATATTTGATTGTATGAGCGAATATATAAATGAAAAATAAATTCCTTTTTCTGGTTTTCTTTTTCACCTGTGTGAAATTCATCACTTTCTAGTCTATTCAAGTTCTTACGCTGTACCCATCTCCATGGTGTGTAAACTCTCAACCCACAATTTTTTGCATTCATTTCAGTTCATACGGTTTCACACCCTTTCTTGTATTTTACATTAGCATTTGGATTTCTTTGAAACCCATCAGGGTGAAGCTGAAATTTCATGTGAATCAGAGTTCTTTTAAGCTCTATTCATATCTTATTTTTTGGATTGAAGTGGTGCCATCATGGACCAGGACCCATTGTCATAGGTTCTGTAGAAACACAAAAATACAGTCCCTACCCCAAAGAATTTACAGTCTAGATAGAGTATAATTCCACAATGGGTCCTTGGTCTTTTGGGGAAACACCTTCCACAAATTCCCAGGCTAGATTGTGTGCTGTTCTTCTGCATAGTCTACAGGTGTTTTAGCCTCTTATGGAATAGAGAAAAACAAAATCATGTGAAGGATGTCTCAAGCCAGAGGCAAACCAGATATTATCTTACATGTGTAACCACAGGCTAAATTAAGCCTCATCATAATTTCACATATAGGAGTTTTTAATTTGGTCCTATTGTTTACCTCCTAGATTATTTTGGTAACACATATCTCACCCCTAGAGGGCACTCCAGGCTCAGATTCATTCCCCGCTCCCTAGGTTCCTTTGACTTCCAGGAATTATTTTCCTGTAGCTGATGATTAACAGGGTTTCCGGTGTCTGTTTTCCTCCTTGAGTG